GGGCAACTACTATTGTGACTATTGAGTTATTTTTAAAGGTTCAACAGCAAGTTCGAACTCTTCGAAAATAGCTCTCTAGTTATATTTTATATTTTATTATATTATATTCTTGCTCGTCATTAATTTGTAATTGTAATTGGAGATGATGGACCATTCCATCTCCTTGGGACACCAAATTCGTGTCTATATCGTCAAAAAGATGCACATGTGTTTAGTTAATTCGAGTCAAAAATTTGAAAATTTTCGTATTATTAAATTTTGAAGTTTAAATATCATTCGGTAAATATTGCAGTAGTTTCTTTTTTCGTCTTTATAATTTTTCATTTTTATCATATTTTATTAAATTTGTAATTTTTGTTTTCTATATAATGCAGCTTAAAGGTATTTTATAATAATTAATAGATTTTATCTTTTTTAGTAACTTAATATTTGTACTTTTCCCTTTTTTTATATATATATTTTATGTAAATTTAGTAAATAAAGAATTCAATTGAAAAGTGCATCTGCGAATTGGACGATTTATATGTCAGGCTATTTTATCATTTTTGATTGTATGATTAATATAGTTTTTTTCTTGTTACAGGTGATCATCGTTGGATTTAACAACAAACCTTGGAGATTTTCCTCTATTTGAACGCCCTAAATGATTACTTTTTAAAATATATGTATAATGCATTTCTGAAGGCACACACACATTTCTATACAGTAAAAATTAAATATAATTATTTAAAATTCTATTACAACATAACTATACTATTATATACTATTAAAGAATACTGTATTTTTTGATGGTATTGTACCGTCATAAATATATTTTTTGATAGTATTGTACTGTCATCGCGGTAAATATCTACTATCGCCCACTGGTGGTTCTGGTAATTACTAAGGTTAATCTGGGTAGATAAAAAGTAGACTTGTGAGCTTCTATGTACTTTTGTATTCGTTGATTATACATTTTATTTAATTTATAATAAGGAAAATAAGACAAGGAATTTTTCTGAACGTTGGTAGCGGATACTAATAATATTTGTTTGAATCTTCTCGAATTATCTCGATTTTTCTCAAGGTATTTTTTTTTTTTTAGTTACGTTTTGTAAAAGGAATTGTGTTACAGCCAATACACGTGTTTTGTTTGTTATACACATATTGAAGCTTAGGCCGTAGTGATTATCAGTAATCAATAATCTACAGGAGGTGTTGTAATAAGAAGAGACTGATGTGATTTGAAATTGTACAAAAAATATATATATATATATATACACAGGAGAAAAAAATTTATAGTATATTATTTATCAATAGGTTTATTGAAAGATAATTTGAGAGATAAATCTAGTAAATATATTAAATTGGTAGATCTGTTGGATAATAACCTTCTCTCTTATGAGGAATATCTGATTTGTGAAAGTAGATAAATATCTAATGACGAGTACAAGAGTTATTTATTATGAGTTTTTGTTCAATTTGGAAAAACATCAAGAAATTTTGAATGTATAATATATTTATGTAAGAAGGAAAGTATTTTTTTAATAGTTGAGACAATTTTTTAAAAATATTTTGCAAGACTCGCAAGAAGTAAATTTCTAATTGATTTACGTGGTAAGATTTCAAAGGTTGTTTTCCTCCTATTGTAAACATGGCTAAAACACCCATAAGTCTTTTACAAGAGTTTGGAATGAAAGAAGGTTTTCTACCGGAATATCAATTTGTTTCTCAATGTGTTGTTGATAATGTAAATATATTTAAGATTCAAGTGAAATATAAGGATTTATTAGCCGTAGGTAAAGCATTAAATAAAAAACAGGCGAAACATAATGCGGCTGAAAATATGATAAAATTAATGAAAAATTCAACATGTAATTCCAATATCAAACAAATAGTATCATTGAAACGAAATATTTCTGAAACGGAACAAATATCGTCATTGAAAAATAGTTATTTAAATTTCGATTCATTCAGTATAAAATCAAAAACTGTAGATACTACAAATTACATTGGCAAATTGCAGGTATGATTTATTTAAATTATTATTTAATTTTGTTTTTCTTTTTTCATTTTAAAGACAAATATGCTATATATTTTTGTTACTTTTTAGGAATACTGTTCAGTTAATAATTTAATAACGCCAGAATATGTAGTTAATAATGTAAGCGGAGAGCCGCATCAACAAAAGTTTACAATAGCATGTAAATTAGGAGCAATAGTTGAAGAAGCGACATCGACTACAAAAAAACATGGCAAACAATTAGCAGCGAAACAATTATTAGATCGACTTGGAAATTCGAATGCATTGATTTTAGCCAGAAGGGATGATGAAAATACTGATGACAAATCCATTCGGAAAGAGGACGATGATATTTTGACTAAAACTGGCATAAGATTGCTTAAACTTAATTGTAACATATCTGAGAATGATATTAAAGACAAATATAGAGAACTTACTAATAAGAATGGTATTAACACAACTCCAATGGACAAAATGCAGAATATTACAACTTATCATCATTTTATTAAACATATTATCTTGAACAATATTAGTAAGGATGAAGAATTAGATAAAATATATCATAATATAAAAAGATTTAAAGAAAGCCTATCGAAAATAACTACTAGTAATGGTAATAGTATAGATCAATTACCATTCGATTATATTTTAAAATACATCAAAGAGATATTGAAATTAGATATAGAAAAAAAGAATATAAAATGTAAAGATCCATTGTTAAATGCTGTCGCCTATAAAATAAAGGCTCCCATACCTGTTATACAGTTTGGTATTAATAAGAATTTAGAAATTGCAAAAGCGCTTGCTTTACATAATATTCTTGACACAATAATGATTTATTTAAATTAAAATTAAACTAAAAGAAGGAAATATTGACGAGAAAATATTAATTTTTTTACTATTATTGAAATGACTTAAATATATATATTGATTATATGAGAATGATCATATGAGAATGATCATATAAATATTATTATTAATCATTGACTTTTTAATAAAATGTTTAATCAATAAAAGAGGAATAATTGTATTATTATTTTAAAATTGTTACCCGTATATATGCGTATACATACTTCTAAGCAAAAGAGTTGAATGTTCGATCAGGATTAGGTTATGAAATATTTATAAAATGTTAGAATTGCATGTGTTTCGCTTACTTTCTGTGTGTTCTCTCTAAATTTTATTCAAATTATCGCGTCAATGTAAATATTGTTATTTTTCAACAAGCATATATAGTTAATAAAATATAATTAGTGATATATAGATACAGCGAAATCCATCAATGATATATATAGTAGTTTATATAGATATATAGACATATACAAGTTGATAATAGGTGCAGCATGCATCGTGTGTTATTATTTACATCTTTATTAAAAATTTGAAAAGTGCTTTTCTTAAAAATCAACTAATTACACGATTTTATGATCGTATCATTCATTTATTATCATTGAAAAATACTAAATGTTTATAAAATTTATTAAAGCAAGATAAGCTATATTTCTAACCTATAAATACGTATTAAAACAACAGTGAAATAATGCAATTTAGTATGAAACAATTGTATCTGAGATTGATTTGTAATAGAAAAATCTTAAATACATTTACTACTAATTTCACAATAAAATGTAATTATGCTAGGTGGGCACATCGTAGACCATCTGCTATAGTTAATGAACATGAATTGTTCGAAGATGTTAATGAAAATAATATAGATACATTAGAAGTAGTAAAAGAGAGGCACGATGGCAAAGTCAGAAAGATAAAATCACAAAAGAAGTTTTCTGCAAATGAAAACAATTTGTCAAATACTATAGCGAATAAAGAAATAAAAGCAAACAATAAAACCGATGTCAACAAATTGAGTAATCGTGTTATAAATCTGAAAGAAAATGATCATATTATTACGTAAGTATATAATATTTTATTAATAAAATATACACACATATTAATAGAATTTATTGTTCAGATCTTTAATGATGAACGTAAAGTCACGCAAGATGCGAGAAAAGAACAATCAGATTTGTATGGAAGGCTACAGATTAATCAAAGATGGGATCGAAGCTGGAGTCAAACCAGAAATTATTTTTTTTTCAAGATTATCCGATATAGAGGATTTGCCTTTGCACGAAGAAGTTAAATTATACAAAGTTCCATATAGAACAATACAATTATGGAGTAATTTAACTACTTCGCCAGGAATTATAGGTAAACGTATAGAACCATTTAATAGAACATTGTTTATATATAATATTACATAGTAATTATTTCTAAGGAAATTTAATTCTATTCTATTTTTCATTGTTAAGGTATCTTCAAAATTCCTAATGTAGAAAGTACAGAACCCTCACCTAATGCTTTACCTCTTACAATTATCTGCGACAATATTCGAGATCCAGGCAATTTGGGTTCTGTACTCCGTGTGGCTGCTGGCGTTGGATGCGAGAAAATAGTTTTATTAAAAGGTATCTTTTGATATTATTCCTCAGTATCAATGCACATCTATAGAAAAAAAGGAGAAGCATAATTTCAAGTATATCTTTTGCAGGATGTGTAGACTTATGGGATACCAAAGTATTGCGAAGTGCAGCAGGTGCACATTTTCGATTACCAATACACGCTTCTGTTACTGATGAGCTCTCGTCATTCATATACGATGGAATGAATGTTTTTGTCACGGATAACAATGCAGCAAATAATGAACTAGTTTTTGATCATTTTAATTCAGAGACTAAATATTCCATTTCTAAGATTTATGAAAATTCAAATTTTGAGAATGTAGAATTGCCAGAATCCGATGAAAATCTACAAAATTCAAAACTGAAGAAACTTATAAGGAGATCGCAATCTCAGCTTCCAATTGTTCCATATTATGCTGTTGATTATTGTACAAGCGAAACTGCAATAATAGTGAGTGGTGAGACGGAAGGATTAAGTCTGGAAACGGTTAAATTTCTGTGGGAAAAACGTGCCGTACGTCTAAATGTACCTTTATTAAACAATGTCGAAAGTTTAAATATTAGTACGGCACTTGGAATAATAGCGTTTGAACTTCAACGACAGATTGTATTTAAACAAAAAGAATAAAATAATTAATATTAAAACAGTACGATATAATCGTATGGGTAAAAAAAACATGATTGGAGAAAGTTGTTTTCTTTTACTCAAGTTGTTACATGCATTTGTGTAAAACATCTAAATACCTTATACACATTTTTAAATTTACGCGGCAAATTGAAATTTCCCTAAACGCGCAAAAAACCCTATACGCGATATCCTAGCGTATTCTCGGAATGTTTCTAGATCTAGGAAAAAGTTATGTTGACATTCTTATGGGAGTTTCACCCCTTTCTCCTCGCCCATCGATATGCATAATATCGTTAGTTGAGTGAGTCAGAAATGGGTGGGGGAGAGCCAGCATTTTTTTTTGTGAGAAGGACAACCGAGCCATTCCTTTCCGTCCTTTGTGCATCCTATCGCGAAAACGTGGGGTGCGCGCGCATATTCCGTGTGCATCGCGTGCTGCGTGCAGATCGTGGAATGAAAGAGCTAACAACCTTTAGGAAAGAAGGAGATAGAGAAAAAGAAAGAACTAAATTGTGAAAAAAAGAGAGAAAGAAACGAAAGAAGAACGGGGTGGTACGTATGATCCAACTCGATGCCTATCGTCGTCGATCGTTCTTAACGAGCTACTCGCCTAGAAATATTATCTGAACTGCCAACTGCATCGACTACGATACCATCACCTACGATATCTTGCCAAGGAAAGGGACACTTAACAAAGGAAAAGCAAATTTAATTGGAAAAGGGAAGAAAAATGTGGGCCGGCGAGGATCAAACGCAACGTTATAAAACCAGGTTTGTCCTTCTAACCTTATTATTCATTTGACGATGCATTTCATGTATTTATTATCTTCCAATTTATTATTGTGCGTTTATTCTTATTTACCAAGGTTACCGCACGTTTCTCTTTTACCTTTTTAACTTTTTATTTCTTTCTTTCTTCCTTCCTTCCTTCCTTCCTTCCTCCCAACCTTCCATCCACCCCCCCTTTCTATAATGGCCGCACTTTGTCGCGAGCGAAACGAATTTCTCGCAATTTGTGACACGTTTTGTTCTCTCCTTTTTTGTTTGATCCCATCGATCGTTTTCGATTGCGTGTTGAAACACCGGCGATATTTTTCCCTGTATGTGTATAACGCACTTTCAATTCGCGCTCGTTATTTCTACCGGCGTTTTGAACGAAGACAACGAGTGAGAGTCGTAGAAGGGATATGTCCGTAGTCATCAAAGTGAATCTGTGTATTTTGGTGTAGAATAACATTATGAATGTTTCCATTTTTACATCGACAAGTGTCATCGGTAATAAAGTGATGCATCATGACGTACTGTTGCATAATGAGTACATTAAGGAACAGTTTTTGTTTTATGAGTAAGTTATGTTTTGTATGATATTCCATTTTCTTTCCCACCTTTGCGTTATTATTTCTCATTGGATTAATACCATAAGTTACAATTTCCTTATTTTGTTAGGTCGAAGAAGCAGCTTGTCGACTTGGAATCAAGCAGAATAAGCATCTATAAAAGTTGATGCAACTGTGCAACATTTCAATTGTATCGTCAGATCTTTGCATACCAATGTATTCAACTTTTCTACAAATGAAAAGAGTATGAAGATCTATGGTAGTAATAATTATAGAATTTGTTTTCTTATAATTTAACATAGTACGCATCTTGATTTATATTATTTCATTTGATTATAGTTTTCGTCTAACCGATATGAATCCGCTGAATCTCTTGTCATCCGCTTGGGAATTATAAGAATTGTAAGAAGGTTTTAATAACGATGATACATATTACTTATTTTTATAATAACATTATTTTATTGTATAAAGGGACATCAGAATAAAAAGAAAATTACAAGGATGAGACGAGAAAGAAAATATCTGAAAAGGGAAAGAATAAAATTGGAAAATGGTTAAGCCGAACGATGAATCATTGTTTATCCGATGGAGCATTGTTTGTCTGATGTGAACAGGTAATAGAATTCCAAAATAGTACAATGAACGAACACAAGAGCACATTTAACATTGTACATATTACATCTTACATCTTCAATGCTCTTTGTTGCACTTTATTTGGTGTTCTATGCAATGCAGAGATCAATCCTTAATAAGATCTGATTTCATTCGTCATTAAACATCATCTCGTGTTAACATATAACATTGTATTTAATTAAGCTCGTTTGTATATTCTAAAATGTTCTATTTAGCAAATAATATCATGTGTCTAATTTTCTTCAATATTTTATTTATCATTTCTTTTCATTTCACACATCTTTACTTGGAAATGAATAAGATAAAATGCGATAAGAAAGAAAATACTCGTTGGTGTATTATCACAAAACGGAATCGCGTTATCGATATATGGAAAAAGGTCTGTTTTAATAAATAAAATGTCGGAGATAAGAGATAGATGATTCATACTACGCAAATAAAATATTTCGTCAGAAATGTTGTGCGAGCTTAGGTTCGCTCGAGGATATCTATGAATGTGTGTGGTGTACGAATGTATTATTGGACGTAGAAGAGATAGCAGCTTGTCGTGAAGCATACACACACACACTGTTCGTTGCGGAGCAGAACGGTGAACGTACTATGATGTTCAAAGTCAGGCTGTGCTACTTAGAGATAGTGTCGAGTGATTGCGGTTACAGCACAACCTATCTCATAGCAGGTTGCTACACAACATCTCTTCATTTCACGCTCCTTCCTGTTCCGCAATTCATCTAACGAGCGCCATGTGGCTACGCATACCTTATGATTTCCCTCTTTTATACATTTATGACCAAAATTATGCGAACATCATTCTCAAGAATCATAAGTTATTGTCTTTTCAAATAACATATAATGATCATTATATACAATTGTTAAAATTCTTTGCAAACGTATGTAAATTATTTTTTATATTTTCTTACATTTTTTTTTTTCCTCTTGTAAATATCTTTTTACACCATCCAATGCAATTGCGCGTACACTTTCTTTTTTTCTTTTTTTCTTTATTCGTGTTCGATTATTCATACAAGTCAAAGGAAAAGTTTCCTTTTCCTCTTTCTCTCTCTCGTAGGAATAGATTTCACCGTAGACGACGGTATATTGAAAACAACATAAAAAAAAAAATAAAAGAGAAGGAAGAAGGAGCGAAAGTAAATACGACATCCTCGACGATTTCGTGACACTCCTACTGACTTTCTTTGCATGTGCATCGACACGCTCGATAGGCTCCTTTCTTCTGTAGTTGTTCATTTATAAATACTGTAACTCCTTAATGAAACGTTTCCGGAACGTGTATTATACTCTTATCGAACTTTCCAAATGAGATTTCAGTACTGTTCCGCGGAAAGATAATAGTTTCAAAATGAATAAATCAAAATAACGTAATATATAGATCTTAAAATAAAAGAAGATTTTAGTATATGTTTTGACATTTGAATGAATATTTCTGTGTAATTTAACGTGTAATAAAATATCAATTATATTTTTTCTTCTTTTCACTCGCTTTCTCTCTTGGAAGAATAAGTATTTATCTTTGTCTGAGAATATATATAGTTAAACTTTTTCAAAAGGGTTCAAAAGCTTTTATGGGTAGACAGATCTCTAAGTCTCATCCTTTAAATTTCGGATTAACGTTGGAACAAAGGAAATATTTTAAAGAGAAAGAAGGTGAATCAACTCGTTTAAAACGTCTGTTTCATTCAATGGGATTCCTCAAGTGTGTCCTAGAAAATAGAACCACCGAGTGAAATAAGAAATTTTTTGTTTTAAAATCTTATTCGATAATTTGTGCATTAACCATGACCGACCACGAGTGTTCGACATTGCTGCATGCAAGTGGCACACCAACTGTGCTCAAGTTCATTGTCCTTTTTACCTGTAATTAAACATTTTTAGATTTTGTTTTATTATTTCAATGATTATACTATTTTAACTTTGAGAGAATCATCGACCAATCGAATTCAACTTTAATCATAACAAGACATATATATATGTAATTAGTTCGATTTCCTTTATTTACGATTAAAGTTAAACGTTTGATATATCGAGAATAGTATCTCTGATCGAATGTCGAGCGTCCGTTAATGTCAATCATGCCTCGATTGACATTGACAGACCAACCATTCTTTATTGTAACGCAGTTTAACGATTCGCTCTATTGAACCATAACGAAGGCTATCTTTGATCGGTTCTTCCTGGTGGTCTTAGGAGAAATATTTACCAAGTATCATCATCATCATCATCATCATCATTATCATGATCATGATCATGATCATCGTCATCAAGGATTCGATTGATCTTTTGCGTCTTTATAATCGTCACACTATTTTTGTTTATATACCTTTAACTAATACACATAGGATAATGAAATATTCAACTTATGTAAATTATATTGTATGAACAATATCTAACGTTATTCATTGAAAATATTGAAACGTTAGTTAAGTACGAGGTTCTAGAGAATCATAATCATCATCATCATCGTACAAAAAAAAAAAATAAAAAGAAGGATCATTTTCTCCTCTTCTATTCTACAGCTTGTTCTAATGTTAGCTCACAGTATTTTAGTTTCGTGGCTGGTTTTGGTGTCTTCCTTTTACCTCGCTATGTGCGAACCAAACGGTTGCTGCTCACTCTGTGTGTAAACCGCTGCACGTCCGTTCGAAACGGAAATCATGTGTAGAACCGCATTTCGGTACCGTTCTTCGCGAACAAGGAACAACTTTAATGCTCATTACGAATGTGATCCTCTTCGTGGGGTTTTTTTTTTTCTTCTTCTTCTTCTTTCCTCCTCGCGAGCAGCACACATAACATAAATTTAATTAATATTTTTTCCGCAAATACATAAATTTCACATTAAATTCAACGATACATTGGAAAATAAAATAAATGCACGGTGTGTGTGATTGTGTATCTAATGAAATTTTGTTTGCATCGTTGAAATAAATGGGGGGAGGTAGGAAGAAAAAGAAATCGTGGAACATTTTTCTTTTAATTCGAAATTATTTAATTGGCCACCATAAAATATAAAAATTGTAGAATGAAATACCGGTGTCAGATGAATTAATAGATCTAACGAGGGTGAAGTAACATTGCGTTGTACGATTAAAACAAACAAGAACGTAGATCCCATTACGTGTCCCATTGGCTAGCCCAACGACACTAAAAACAACTCTTGCACACTAAGCAAATCGTTCGAGCTTGAATCCTTGCGAGAGAGAGAGAGAGAGAGAGAGAGAGAGAAAGAGAGAGGGGGGATATTCGTGGGATATCCGTGGGACTTTGAAGACATAGTCAAGGAGAAGGTACATTCTCTTTATGTTAAAAAGAAACTGACCGTAGAAAATAAAAGATCTAGGACACAAATGTTTATAGGTTGACCTTTCTATTGAAAATCATTTTGTTTTTAACTACTAGATTTACTAGCTATTTTGATATACTTATTTCTATCAAAACTAATCAAAATGACTGGTCTTAGGGAGGTAAAAATAGAAATAGCAAAAAATATATTTGTTAGTTCATAAAACTGATGTTTTTTTTTTAGTTATAATTACAAAAAAGTCATGATATCATTAAAGAAAGAAAATGTTAAACATGCAGTAGAAATTTTAAATTGAAATTGCAAGAAGACCAGTGATTTTGACTGGTCTGGTGGTAAATCTAGTGTGTTAAATACTTTAAACATTCAAGTTTTAGGAAAAGATACATAATTTATAATATCCTCGAAGAAAATAAAAGCTTATCAGTGTGGGAAGGGGGGGACTGGATAATATCGATGATAAATCATTATTTGTCTTTGCTGCTATCTCGTGTAATGACTTTGTTCCATATTTAACTATAAAAACCTGTTCGATATTGAAACGAGAATTAAATACGCTTTACAAGGGAAAGGTCTTGAACGTTGTTTAAGAAATAATAATACAAGATTAGGAACCCCCCTCCCTCCCCACTTCCCCCATGGCATGTTTATTATTTTCTTAAGTTTTAACGCGGTCAAAAGAAGATGGGACAAGCACACGCACAGCAGTTGTGGAGGCTGGAAAAATGAGTTGGGAAAAAGAAAATGAAGAGAAATCCTTTTGTGGAACGTGAGAGCTCTAGCTAGTTTTATTCCATGGCGCCAAGGGAAGAAGAAGACAACGGAAGTTAAGTGCCGTCATACAAGGAGGAGGAGAAGGAACAGCACACAGGTTCTTTCTTCCCCTCTTACCTCGAGAAAAGGTGTTGCCAAGGATTATCAAGGTGGTAGTAACGGAAGGTTGGCCTTCGTTTGAGTCTACCACCATAAACTCTGTATGTGTGTGTGCAATGTAGCCGGTTGCACTCTACCGAAACCAGCAAACCAGACTTACTGCCTCGTGCATTCATTTTCTGGACGTAGGATTTGGCACACACACACATATATATATATATAAAGTTGGCTTTTACTTTTAGCCTGAATAGTTTTCTTATCAAATACGGTACGCAGTTTTTAATATTTAACAAAACTGGTCCACTTCATAATGAACATAGAATATCATTAAGAATATTCATTGTTAAAACAGAAAAATAAGAAATAGATAAATGTAACGAATAGAATGATTACTATTTCGATCTACATTTGTGCTCATAATTATGAAACTAGTCTAACCATAAGTTATATATCTCTACATTTGAACACTATAATTGAATTCCATATAATGTTGAAATAACAAACACCTATCTAACTGTAATGTAATCTAACATTACATTGAATTAATATAACTCATATAAACTGATTTGTTTTTTTAAATTCTGACTTAAACCACTTTCATAATTATGGTCACAATTCAACTATCTCATTTATTCAGACGAGTAAATTTTCGGAAATTCGAGAAGTACTGCTCGTCGTGTCACGCGTTAGGTACACCCAAATAGATAGCTATTTAATTAGTTGATTACTCAAAGAGTGTTTAGAAAAAGAAAAAAGAAAAACGATGAGAAAGGGAAGGGTCATTCGACCCTT